GCTGAGGTAATTTTCCAGGGGGTTGCTACAGCAACAGGCAGAAGGCGCACTACTGAGGCGGTGCGTGTGTAATGAGCTGCTGGCAGCGGCCCTTCCCTGACGTCAGGAGAAACGGCCACTGTCTCGCAGCACGCCTGTGATCTGCACGCTGACCAGAACCGGAGGAAGCCTTTTGTTCCCCAGTCAGCGCTGAGAGAGAATTACTTGTTTTTAATGCACTTTACATAACCTGTGGTAAGGTCCAAGCCTGCAGCCAGCTTCAGTGAAGCTGCTGGACTATGGATGTGCTAAGGGTGCCCTTGAAAGCAAGCATGTCTCAAAGATACTGCTTGTCCACACTGCAAAATAAACAGCAGGAGCAGGATCACAGGAGTAGACTGACTGGCCTCTGTACTTTCTCATACAGAAATCAGGCAAAGAAGTGAGACCCCTAGCCTTAATAAACAGACCAGAGCAGTTTTAACCAATAACCTTCTTCAAGAAGTCAAATATAAACCCCATTACAATGAACAGGCAGCTCAACATTCAGCCTTAATTCACTTCCCAGAGCTACATCACCTAACAAAGACAGACCATCAAAACTTACTTAAATTTACTTTCGGTGAATGAGGTCTTGATGCACCTTCAGCATGAAGAAACACAGGACAGGCACTTCAAACAAACACCACCCCTCCAACCATGAGCTACAATTTTCCAACATCTTCGAGGCCAGATTTATCTTGCAGGTGATCAGGTGATAAAATAGTGTTTTCTCAGGAATAATTCCGTAAGGTAAATTTCTGAAACTTTAAACTAGGTTCAGCATTTAGCATAATTAATCAAGACAAGCCATTAAGGCATGGGCAGACAAAAGTAGAAAAGCTACAGCCATCATCCGTCTCTAATACGTTTCCCTTTCTGAGGTTAAAAATCAGATCACTCTATTCACCAGTACTGCCTAATAACAGACTCAGCAGGCAAAACTGATGTAGCAAGATGCTGAATTAATATTCACTAGCACACTACTAAACCCTGTGCTTAGAAGGAGTCTGCCTGCGAGACCTTGTGAGCACAGAAGTCCCTCGGGAGCAGAATGCTTCTGAAATGCACTGCTGGGTAGAAGGCATCTGCCTGGCACCACCCCAGAAACACACTCCGAGAAATCTCTACAATAAAACCAAACATGTCGAGACAGAGGTAATTACTGACACTGATAAAAGGGTCAGTCTAAAACTAGTAAAGATGACTTGTTACCACACAGCCAGCAGACGACATGACTGTTCTTTAATCTATACAGGGAGAATGAGACTACAGGGGAAGAGGGAAGGAACAAACCCCAAGAAACTCTACAAAGTTTGTTGTTTAACAGAAAGTTTGTTGGGTGGTTTCGGTGTAACCACAGCTATAAAAGCAAGGCTTACCAGCAACATTTCATATGCAAATACTTTCACTGTGTTCAACCACATGTAAGACAGATACCGCATGGCTGACTTTTTCCAGGTATGACAACAACCAGAAACATTTACATCTTTTCAGTCCTAAAGCTCTCAGGTTTAACTCAAAAAACCCGTGTCTTCCTCGAAGTTAGAATAGTTGATAGGTATGACCCTCTACAAAACGCTCTCATATACATACAGTGGCTGTACAAGTAAAAATAAAACCCTAACCAAAGTCTATGACTAAGGCCACTTAGGCAAACTATTTAATAAGATTCGATAGATCTCTGTCGCTATTCTGGAATCGGATGGAGCCACTCTCCTTACTGTTGCTGGGGTTTGGTGTCTTCTTTTGGGGTTGGAGTTTGCTTGTTTTGCAAAACTGTGAACTGGCTGATGAGACTACCCCAAACTAGCACTGAATTCGACCATACGCTGGAAAACAAGCTTAGAAAGGGAAAAGCTTTTCTCTGCATTTTTGAAAACGAATACAACGCTCTTGTGTCTCAACTCCTCACATGCAAAATGTTAAAGTTGCTGTAGCAGGATTTTTCCTACCTCACAGAGCTGTCAAAGTAACTGACAAAAGTGTCGTCTTTGCTAACAAGCAGCAGCACAGTAAATGGAATCACTTCTCAGAGTACAATAACAAGCCCTGAACAAAGCTAAGTGTAAACAAGTATGGGCCACGTCTTCAGAACTTCTGTAAAGCTTTGCATTTCTGAGCCTCTACAGCACTGGTGAAAAGTTGAGGCATGTTTACCAGTTTCCAGAACTATCTAATCTTAACTTAAACTAAACACAATAAACCTAAGATCTTTGCAGTGAAGTAGAAATGTCTGCACTGTGATCTTTTTATCCTTATCCCATCAAATCCTGCCTAGCTGTCTCCCTCAATTTCCTATGTGGCTAAAAGCCAACCTTAGCAAAGGCTAAAACAAGCACATAATCAAACATAAAAAAGTTTGTACAAACTCTTAAAAGGAAATGTGGATTAAAAATTATACAGATATTAAAAACATGATCAGTACTGCACAAAAAAAAGGATCTTGAAAGAAATACATACCATACACTGCTTTATGCAACGTCACTTCCCTGTCTAAATTTCCCTAGTTCTGTTGCATAATCTTCATTTTTTCTATAGGATGCAGTGCTTTGGTATGTAGCAGATTTCATATTGCACCTTTCTTCAGACCTTCCTTTTATATTTGGGGACTATATCTAAGGCATAAGATAGGGTAGGTATGGTTCTGCTGCTAGTACTTGATCTTAATCTTCAGACTGTCATTTTTATTTGCTGCTTTTATTTTACTGCAAACTTTACACAAGTAAGGCTGCATAAAGTGTGAATACATAAAAGCAGAATCTACCATCTGCAACATAAATCCACAGAATCATAGAACAATTTGTGTTGGAAGGGACCCTATAGCTCACCTAGTTCCAAACCCCCTGCCCTGGGCAGGGACACCTTCCACTAGATCAGGTTGCTCAAAACCACATCCAGCCTGGCCTTGAACACTTCCCTGGGCAGGGACACCTTCCACTAGACCAGGTTGCTCAGAGCTCCATCCAGCCTGGCGTTGAACACTTCCAGGGAGGGGCAGCCACAGCTTCTCTGGGCAACCTGTTCCAGTGCCTCACCACCCTCACAGAAAAAACTGCTCCCAAAGACAGCTTTAGAACCTTCAAGTACATTTCTACAAATTAAAGGAAGAAAGAATCAGTGAACAGTATTAAAATATTTGTTAAATAATTATGTACTTCTGTATAGTATAAAATGTATTGTTTTCTCACCCCCAACAAATGACTTGTACAGACACCACCTAGACAGTTGTTCGTAATTTGCTACTCCAGTGTCAGTCACACAGCAGGTCTCAATTTAGGACAACATTTGTCCTTCTGACAGGCTCACACAAACCCATGAAGCCTTAAGAATTCCCTACAGCTTTATGACATAAAAGAAGGAATGTTCTGATTGCTAGAGGCAATACCAGCAAACTGAGTAAACTGCTGCAGTAAAAACTTAGATACATACACTGATCTCTCTCCTTGTGTGCCCCTAAGCACATCCTATTTAGCACACAGTAATTCCACTGAGGTATCAAGGAATTAATTGTTCAGCTGAAGTTACAAAAAACTTTGAACTCAGATGGAATACTGTCATACCAAAGTATGCATAAGCAAGCATAAATACACGAGAGGCTCTTCTAAAGACTCATATACAGTGATTCATAATTCTAATTTAAAACTCGTTTTGCAGAAATCCACAGCATGAACTACAACAACTTACAGTTAGAATCACCAAATCTGCAAAAAATCGTGTTAAATCGCTAGACATGTTGAGCTTGAAAAACAATCATTCACCTTTTGCAAGGCAATGTACTAGCAATTGCCTTCTACAACTACTTCATGAATTATTCCCCACTATTTTTAATACTACTCAAAAGATCCACTAAGGTGACAGTTTCATTAGAACTAGGTGAAAACTACAGTATTCAGGATAATCTGATCTGAATTAGCATCAGATGATTATTTCCTGCTTTGGAGTGTAAGTAGTTCTATTTTAATCCTCTAAGGCAAGCACACAAAATACATACATTTATTTCAACTTTAAAAACAGCATCACATCTGTCATAGAAACAAAGATAGGACCTACAAATTACAAGAAATTTGAAGTGTAAGACAAGCTCTGCTTCAATTTCAATTCAATTTTGCTGCTCATTTCAGTATGGAAACAGTATCAAAGTACACTGTCAGTAACTTGTCTGAAATTTTCTTTTCAGCATTTATGCACCCTAAAGTGTTTCAGTTTAGGTAATATTCTATTTGTTTTCTTACCACTAAAAACCAAAACACAATATGGTATCTTCAGGCACAGTGAGAATCCAAACAAAACAACAGAGATGCCACTGTGCTTTGCACCATTCTGCACCAAAATGTGCATACACAAATAATAAAAGTGTTTTTCCTGTTGTCTTCCTGACAGCCATGTTCTTTAAAGTTTAGGCTTTGTTTCCATGAAAGAAAGGCAGCTCCATGAAACACAAGAACCGTTGCTTAGTACTATTTACCTCACCACCAGGACTGCAGAAGCTATGTGTGAGGGAAAAGGGGAAAACCTGGCAAAACAGGAGTTCTGGGTCATTTTAATTTTTAGGAATTGGATGGAGGTGTACCCTGGCTGCACTTCCCACTATTCACTACTGTCATACTACATGGAAGTAATTTTGTCCAGCTTGCATTTGTGAGTGTATGTCAGAGGAGAGTAAGCTCCTGAACAGGCACAACAAAAAAAAACAAACCCATCGGTGATTAACTATCCCTAGTCGGAATCTTACTTTAAGACTTCAAATGATCACAGACTGTCACTCTGTGAAACAAACACAGATAACCCTAAACTAGATGTATTCCACTCCTTAAAGTATTCTCTGAATTCAATTTAGTAAGTGTATATTCAGGCACGTTTGTGCTGCATATGCATACAAACATGTACGTAGGCTTACAGTGTAAGAAGGTAAGAACTAAAAATTACTTTGTTAGAGACACAAAATTATACATAGTTGTTTGTAGCCACCATGTACTTACTATTTAGTTGAATCTGATAATTGATACTCCCGTCGTCTATCGTAACACTCCTGAATTCCAGGGTCATTCCATAAGCTTCTTATTGCATCTACATATGGGTTCTCAAAAGTTGACACCTTCTCTACATCGACTTCTCGAACTAACTGTGCATGAGCCTAATTCAAAACAAACAAAACAGTAAAACTTACTTCATTTTCCATGTTTGCAGATAGCTCATATACAGTGAATATGATTAACAGGAATAATTTTTCATATTGGCCATATCACCAATGTATACATGCAATCTGAAAAACCAAGTACCATGAAGAAGGTTGTGAAACTGGAAAAAGGAGACAACAGTTACAGGGAGTTCCAGAGAAGAGGAAGAACAGGATAGAACCCTTCACTTTCTTATGGAAAGTATACAGATCTCAACATGGATTAGCATATTATTTACGTTTCATGCTAAAAGACACTGTTAAACAGAATACCTACCACCCATTCTACCAGCTGAACCCCTTATTAGCAACTCAACCCAGGACACTTGACACAACAACAAACATAAAGACAGAAAAGACAGTAAAACCCCAAAATATTAAAAGATGGATAATTTACAAAAATCTGCATCCATGATGTAGTGATGGTGTAGAAAAGAAACAGTAATGTTGACTTACTACGGAAGACCCTTAAGTAAATGGTGAATGAATGAAAATAAGTGACAGTATTGAGTAAATTATGAATGAGTGATGATATGGTGTATTCAAAGACAAATAGTGATAAATATGACATTAAGACAGAAAGTGGATAAATAAATTTACTTATGGGCCCTTATTTCAGACTATGCTTACTCCAATCTAGTAGTATTTAGATAAAAAAGGATGAAGCACTCCCATTAAAATTTGTATTTAATAAAGCTTATTTCAAAGAAAGCTTTGATTTTCAATTTTTCAGGTACAATCTTAGAGAATATAGAATCTGCTTTTTAAATGGTGACCAGTTAACCAATTTGACAGATTTAGACTCTGATGGTAGCTGAGAGAATGGGAAGAAGGGAAGGAATTTGTCTTTCAGAGAGACTGATTAAAGAAGTTGTTAACATTACCACAAATGTAACAGAAGTTACTACTAAAAAAGAAAAGCAAGATTATTACATATTTTCTCTAGTTCAATTTGTACTATAAACTATGGAGATTCTTAAAAAGTAACGTCTAAATTTGGGAGGTGCTAATAGTGAATAATCCCTAATAAATCCATCACCCTCCTAAATACTTAAAATGTAGCTGAAGCCTATGGAGTCAGACCTACCAAAGAAACACAGCAGAACGATTTCTGATTTGTCCTGAAGTATTATGTACACATTTGAGTAACAAACACATGAATGTTTGTATCTGTAGAGATACACACACATGCAAACATCTACATACACAGACACACAGAAGACAATAGATGAAAACTTAGTGAATCAAAAAACCTGAGGGACTCAACTCACATCTAGTCTGCATTTGAGATGAGGACACAAACCTCTTTCCATTTAAAATTAGGTGAAGGTATACTGAAAGGAGTGTTCTTGTATTGTAAAAAAAATATATATTTTAAAATTATATTCATTATGTTTATTTTATTTATTATATTTAATAAAATGTTTACACACATGATATCCCATCCGTCTTTTCAGACAGTCCTGGAGAATGATGTTACTGCTTATTACTAACAAAATATTATACCTGCAACTGTTGTTTCCTCAACAGGAAACAAAAACCTCCAAGTTCAACGTGTGTTCTCTGTTATCAGATTACAAATCTCCAAAGTTCTAACACAAGGTATTTCATTCTGGAACATGTCCATGCATCTCCAAAATGTCTGGACAAATCACAAAGGGTCCCTACCTTCTCACAGCAAATAACAAGAAATGGTACTCTACTAAACACAGAATCACAGAATGGTAGGGGTTGGAAGGGACCTCTGTGGGCCATCTAGTCCAACCCTCCTGCCGAAGCAGGGTCACCTACAGCAGGCTGCACAGGACCTTGTCCAGGCGGGTCTTGAATATCTCCAGAGAAGGAGACTCCACCACCTCCCTGGGCAGCCTGTTCCAGTGCTCCGTCACCCTCAGAGGGAAGAAGTTCTTCCTCATGTTCAGACGGAACTTCCTGTGCCTCAGTTTGTGCCCATTGCCCCTTGTCCTGTCACTGGGCACCACTGAAAAGAGCTTGGCCCCATCCTCCTGACACCCACCCTGCAGATATTTGTAGGCATTTATAAGGTATCCTGTCGCTTAATTCTTACCCATAAGCTCTCGACTCGTTCTTCATCCACCCTCAGGCAGGGCTTGATACATTCCGGTTACTCCCTCATATACAGAGCAACTCCACCACCTTGCCTTGTTGGCCTGTCTTTCCTAACGACTGTGTAGCCATCTATGACGGCACTCCAGTCATACGAGTTGTCCCACCATGTCTCTGTAATTCTGTACTGATGCATGGGGTTGTTCCTCCCCAGGTGCAGGACCCTGCATTTGCTTTTGTTGAACCTCATCAGGTTCACAAGCCACACAAGCCACTGTTCCTGTGAAACAGGATAATTTTTATTTTAAGTATCTTACACCTTATCAAGCTCAGTTCTGTATTCTATTGCTCTTTTGTACTTCCAGAAGAATGATGCACTGAGTATTTTCCCACAGCTTGTGACAAACTGATAAAAGAATATATTCAGACACAGATTTTTTTTTTTGTACTTCAGCTCCAAAATTATGGTCAACTGACACCAAATGCTAACAGAGCTAGAAGACTAACTTACTACTCAAAAGCTTTCATGTTTTTGTACTTCAGCTCCGAAATTATGGTCAACTGATACCAAATGCTAACAGAGCTAAAAGACTAACTTACTACTCAAAAGCTTTCATTTGAAATCTGTCATAAATAAAGTATTTCTCCAACAGTTCCCTAAACGTTCTCTAACAGGTGCTCAACTATTCTACACTAGTAGAAGAGAAAATCTTAAAAGGTAATTACTTTATTCAGTTACCTATCTAGATTTACTACTATAAAGTTGTTCAAGATATTGCATTGTTTTATTTATCAGTTCTGTATGTTCTGTCATACAACTAATACGACTCTGCACTATGTGACAATACTTGCAAAATAAACTATGGTGAATGGCAAGAAGTTGCAGCCATCGAAAAACTGATTCAACTTTTTAAAAAGAGACAACATTTCCTCAGCGAACACTGCTTCTGCTTCCCTGGGGTTTGCCTGGGCACACTGACAGCTTGTACCAACCGATACACAGCTCTTCACATCAGTGCTGCGTCTCTTAAATCTATACATAGATTTCAAATCTTTATTAATCCTCAGTTATGCTTTCTTATTCCCAGAGGTACTCTACTTTCCCATAGACAGCAATTTTTCTTTCTTTGAGAGTCTTTGTCAGGCAACATCTTTTGCTGGCTTCTAACTTCTGGTGGTGGAGACAGAGATGAAAATACAGGTTCTCAACTATTCGCTTCATTTTTCTCTCATTTGGCCTGGTACAAGTCAAAAGTAATTCTAGTGAAACCTTGTAAGATGGAGAAGAATAAATTTAATGCAGAAGAAGTATCAATCATGCATGATGTGTGCTGTCACTACTTCCAATTACTGGCTTTAGTTTCACTCTACTAATATAATAGCAAATTTGGAACATAACTTTTGATGGTAGCACTCAAACATGAACAAATCTAAGGACTCCTCCTTAATCCAGTCTATGCAACTATAAACGTTACTGAGTACTTCTTAGTCTACTAATCCTTTCACTTTACCCAAAGATTGACATTATTTGGAAGCACAAAAAGCAAAAGTCAAGCTGTTGCCCCTGAGAAAATTGTACCTTTCTTATTAGGGACACCAGTAATTGTCATCAAAGCATTAAAAAAACAACCACAAAAAAAAAACCTCAAACCCCAAATGACAGACAAAACTGAAGGATTCTGTAAGTACTACCAAATTAAAATTGGTCATTATGTAACTACTAGTTCAGCTGTAATGTTCCACACACAAAATCTAGGTTGTGCAGATAACTTCAGTCCAATACACTTCTGACATCAGCAGTCAATATTTTCCACGGCTTTCTGGCAATATAAGAATACTTGTAAAAACTTCCACATTTTTTGCCAGAAATCTTATAAACACTCATTCAATTTTCTTAGCAAACCACAGATATCCTGAATTTAAGAGCTTCTTCACTGACTTCCACAATTATTTAAAAAATGATCCCAGAATAAGAAAACTGAAATTTCTGGGAATAGTATTAGATTCTGAAACCAGGAAAACTGGAGCCTGAGGAGATACCAAAATAGCTATAATTTCTCCTTCTTCATTTCCGTCAGAAAACTACTGACAGTGTTAAAAACTAATCCTGAGTTTGAATAGCATTACAGTTTTATGCTGGTCTTTTTGGCAATGCTCTTCTGGCCACAGTCCATGAATGATATTTTTTTAATCTCTAGGCTTCATCATGTCAGTTTTCTACTTATTCATAATTTTTTGAAAGCTCTGATGTTTCTTAGGGACTAATTGGGCCACCCAATGATCTGGTCTCGAGTTCTTTCTGTGTGTGCATCAACCATCTTGAGCCTTGTAACAGTGGCTACAATCAGTGTAGCAAGCATAGAAAAAGGTTCATATTTTACATTCCTCTTGATACAGTCTCTGCAATTTTTCCAAATTAGCATTCCAACCTACATAGAATGATTTCTATGAGGGAGACCAGGCAGAAATGTACCATCTATTTCAAAAGAAATTCGTCTGTGATCTTAAATCCATAGGAGAAAGCAATGTGCTTGAGATCCAGCAGGCAAGATTGCTTCTTACCAATGGTCTCTGTGGACTAGCTGATTTTAAGGTGCCCATTTAAAGAATTCACTTACACGGGAGAGAACATCTTCTGTTTTGTAACAGGATTTCTGAAACCGATCAGACAAAGCCTGCAGCTGTCGTGCTTGGTTGTCAATAACTAAATGATCAAGCACAGTGACATTAGTTAGGTCTGGATAGTGTAATTTACACTGATTGCAAAATTGAGAACAATGACGTGATCAGATCCAAGCAGTCCAGGAGCTGAATGGAAGTCATTACAAAGACATCACCATGACCACGGATTTGCCTTCTATGAGAGGCGGGCGGAGGAATTCTTGATAATG